CTGCTTTTTTTTTTGCTATAGCAGCCACATTGTTAGACTTTCAATATCAATCGACGTCAAGAAATGGCACAAAACATCTGCTGCGAAGCGGCATGGTCGCGTATCGAACCAACAACATTCGTCACAACGGCCGCAGTCATTAACACTTGACCTTACAGGCTGCTGGATGCATGCGACGAGAGGGCTAGCGCCATGTCCTCGCTGTATCCAAAGGGTTAGGAACAGCCAGGATGTAATTAAATGCATAGAAAACATGCAAATTTGTACTCATCTTTTACATTCAGCGATTAACTTCGTTCAAAATGTAAATCGGAAAGATGTGTATTAGACGTGAGCAAGATGGGGATTATTTCGCGTTCTTGAACGCGCAATTAAACAATTTGGGAGTGTGTAAGGAAAGTCCCCTATCTTGTAAATCAGAAAAAGATTCCGAAGTTCCAACTCACACCAACCAAAAAGCAGGAACGGTGTTTTACACGGCAGGCTATTGAAGATGAAATGAGCCAAGCACGTGATGCGTTTTAGCGACGACAGCAGATGAACGAGAACACTTTTCAACTGGATTGCTTGAGATGTCAAACGCATCAGATGAAAAACTCTACTCGATAGTGCAACTTCTTCACAAAAAACCTGGAATAAGGATATGATGTAAATCTTCATATCAAAAGTGACTCACTGCGCTACTTTTGCACGCGACGCGATAAGCGGAAGCTTCACTGGTGTCCCCTTCATTCACTCGACGATCAGCGGGACCATAGGTGACAGGTAACAGGAGGCAACGGTACATCGTTTTAGAGCGAGTGGCGAAGTGATAGTAATGTCCACCACGGCCACACTGTGGTTCGGGTGACTTTGATACGCTATACCAAACCTCTTAGCCGTCCGGGGTCGGAAAATTCTTACGGGACTTGTCTAGGACAGGATCTCGCCCTTCAAGTGGGAATGCTCTAGCTCTAGTGTCTCGTGACCTGAGGGGAAATGGGCTCGACCACCAGTCAATAACATTCATAAAAACGAAGGCCTTCACACAGAAGGCAAACTTATGCATGAATTGATGAGATCTCCGCGGATAATGCATGCGAGAAAACAACCAGTTTAGAAGAAGTGCACAGATCGATTTAGAAATTCTAAAGAGTAGTGTGGAATAGAATCTTGTCTCGAAGACACGAAATTATGAAGTGCAACTGCAGCAGGGAAAAGTAGTTTTGAAATTCTAGGCAAAAAAATCTAATGTAGACATAAATGCAAAATAGATTTGAGGAAATAAAACGGGAACGAACGACAGTGGGCGATTGAATCGAACTATCGGCTCTGAAGAGACGAAATGTGTCAAAACGTCGACCGAGTAAAACTTTCAATAGCTTCGTGCTACAAACTCACTAGAATAGGCAATGTAAAATAGAATTCAATTTGTGTAGAATTAGAGATGCAGAAAAGTATGATTTGAATCGGAGGTAAGGTGAGATAAAAGAAATAATTGATCCTTTCATTATTATTTGAGCCAACTTGTCATATGGTCTGGTAAGGGCTCTTGTACAGCCCGATACACGTGTTCCGTCCTTACAGACTCGTCAGTTACTCGTCCTTAAAGAAATAATTGAAATGAAATTTCAATACAGTATAAATAAATATTAGAAGCGCATAAAGCGCAGAGGTTAAAGGTACTCTGCGTTGCTCACAAGCTCGATGGTTCAATATCACGCTCATGACTCACCAAGCCATCCATATCCAGGGGTCATTTAATTGGTACCAGACTCAGTGTGCGAGGGGATACTTGACACTGATTTGATACAGCGGTGTGCAACCGCGAGTCATTCTAAAGAACAGATATGCATTCACTCACCTCGGAACGAAGTTAGAAATTGAAGACGAGTGCATGGCTCATCCCTCAGAAAGTGATCAGCGCCGAGAGCTTTATCTTTATAGTTTATCTTTTATCCTTCATAAATAAATATTAGGTCGTTCCATAGTTTTGACAATATAGAAATAAACACCAAATTCATTAACCACAAATATATACAATTATACGATTTTGGTGTTTTACAAAAGTGCATTTACTTGCAAACATTTTGTTATACAACTTGTCTATATTTGTTTAAGATGGAGCTGTCCTGGCTGCAAATTCATTTACTACTCATGCAGCAATGGCGCAGGGAAAAATGATAGCAAAGCAGCGCGCAAAATTAACGCAGCTTGGGGCGATGATACGGTTGCAGAAAGTGTTGGAGAGAGCAGTCTGAAGAATCAAACAAGCTGGCATCGTCCACAGAACGCTCTATTAATCTTGCAAAGCGTGTTATAGCATTTTCCCCTAAGCTCTGTTCGTGCATGAGTAGCAAGCGAACTTGTTCCCACCACAGTTCCATCCCAAAGCAAGTATAGGAGACTGTATATCAAAATGTTCGCAAGAAAATGCGTCATTGAAGGAGACCAATATTAGGCAATTTCAATTACTTCTGGTTAGTAAAGTTGATGTTTACTGCTCTGGTGCCAAATCTCATGGAGTGACTTAATACTAAATGAGCGTGAATGAAAGTTGACATATGGAAGTTTGAATAAATTTCAATATCCATTAGTTTATGATTCGTTTTCCAATGTTTGCTGCATTCAGAAATGTCACCGTGTGCTCGTCGAAGTCGCTTACGCAAGATATTCTCGTCTTTGACATCTTCCAAGTAAGGAATTTTCCTTTTTTGAAATCACAATGAATTAGATGAATATTATAGCATAACAATCTAGTTTATGACTGAAACCATCTCATTGTTTTTGCGATGTGATTATGATGTTCCAACTTTATATTAGACCATTTTTTATGACAGAGGGCGATATGAAATACAGTCGCGGCGATGCTGAGATATGAGCAAAATTTGGGATCTCCGTTAATCTCAAGTCTGCAATTAGTTTTCAGCTGCTTACGTGCTATTCAACACAGAATCGAGGCCCCCTTACTTTGCCTTTCCCTCAGTCACGTTGTGACTCCATCAATACTGTCAACAAATACTCTAATTTGTATAGAATGGCAAATATCACGTGAACCTTTAGACAAAACATTAGAGGTTTCAAAACCTAACCGAAGTTGCGAGTTTTGCTCACATCTCAGCATGCTGTAATATCAATCTATTTTCAAACAGTATTTTTGTGCCGTGACAGTAATCCTCAGAGAACTCTGATATCAACATAATCAAGCTTGTTGCCTTTCCAGAAAAATGCGGGCTTTTCTTCGAAATCAATTTCTACCATTCGATTCCAACGTCGTACAAAAATGAAATGGTTCATAAAACGCAACTGTGTGACTTGACTCTGCCACCTTTCTAAATCATCATCTGCTCAGGACGAAAATCGAAGAACATAACGACTAATATATCCTACAACACCATCTTTATTTTCCCTTTTTTCCGCTTGTCAAACTATAAGAGAAGGGCCGCAGATGTCACACCAACGTGAGATTTTTTTTCTTGAGTGTGAACCAGGACTAATTTGAGTGCGATATTATTTTTGTGGTTCACCGTGCTTCTCATCCTTCAAAACTGTACCAGACTTGTGTGAGAATAATCCACTCCGTGCAGTTTTAATGGGAGTGCTCTAGCCCGTCTATCAAAGCACTCTAGGAACATTCGCCTCGATTATCACATAAAACATTCGTGAAGAAATCGACAGTACTTGAGTAAAAGCCACATTCGCGTACAAAAGTTCGAATCGAAGAAACAAATCGTATATGATAAAAGGTTTAATACAATCGCTGTGAAGACGGCCCGCATGAAGGGAAACCTAAATTGATTTAGCAATATTTAAAATTACTATTTTTATCCTGCCAGATGAGTGTAATATCGATTAATAAACCCGCAGATCACGAACGGCTTGGTTTACAACGGCACCTCATCAAACCAACGAATTCGTGTGCATAAAAGGGCACCTCTAAGTTACACGCAACACTTGCATTATCAAAATCAGATATGGAAGACTCACTATAACTGCTGATTGATTATCAACACCGAATCTGATCAGAGTGATTAGGTTTTGGAAAACAGCCACGCCAAATATCCAAGAACTTATAAGGCATTTTGACCTGTAGCAGAGATAACTTATTTCAGAGTCTCAGACCATCTAAAGCGTTTGTCCTCTTATTTTCACGTGGCACCCTGCTTCGGGGGGCTGACAATTTTTTCTATGCGTTCGAATGGAAATAACGGTAACAGCGTCCAATTCAAAAATATTGATCAGCTGCCTATTCATCAGTTTCGCCGATTTCCCTGTTTTGTTTATTCAGCTTACCAGTTATGAACCCATTATTACGATAACAACAAAACTCTCACAAATTCCACAATGGTAGTTGTATTCAGTTGCCGTAGAGCACCTTCCACATGTCTGTTGATTTTATTCAAAACCTTGCCCAATTCACCAGTTTTAGAGCCGTAGGTGACTTAATATCTACAGGGAACTGGAAATAGTTCAGTAAGCCTAGCAAGCTTCAGTGCTAGAGCGAAAGCTGACAAATCTTTGGTTCTTACAATTCGTTCTTCTCATCGAAATTAACGAAACTTGATGGTTTACCCTTAGTGGCTTTGATGGAAAGCTTCATTCAATTTTCACCTCTTTCTTACCTCTATTTTTCAATACTGAAATATTCGCTCAGGTTTTTCATAGAGTTAAAAATCCATGATTGCTTTGATTTTTGTAATTCTGAATTTTTGGCGCGCATTTCCTTACTCCTCCTTCTTTAGTTCACTTTTTATTTAATTCATTCTTCAGTTTACGATACTGAAAGCACCCTCTATTTCTGACTAACTTACGGTTTTGGAAACATCTTCTTTTATCAACTGAAAATGCTTCTAAATGTTCAATGGTGACTTTCAATAGATAATCGCTGTACTTACCACACTTCTATCTTGGAAAGCCTTCTTTATATAGTGTTTCTGAATTAATCAGAATATATTTTATTTCACCGCGTATTGCGGTAGTATGATCTTTCAATAAACCCAATAATGTAGAGCGCTGCGTCAGCGTCAGTGGTGCAACGGTTCAGCAAACGCTCCCGGTAAGGGTAAGATCTGGGTTCAAATTCCGGCCTGACGCAAATGTCTTTGCACACGACTTCACAATATTGTTTCTGAATCATCAGTTCCGACTAATTCTTTCCCTTTTTCCCACTATTTGCCTACCTGAAAGCAAAAGCTTTTTTTGTGAAGCAATTCTTGTTTATGTCGCTTCCATTTTCTTAGCCCATTACAAAATTACTATTTTAGAAACTCAGTGCGTCAGAAATTCAGAAAATCTGTTACTGTGGGCACTATGTTAGTGGATACTAAAACAATTTCTTTTTCAGGAAACACAAAACCCTCAGTGCTTTCGATCTGGATCAATGCGTCGATGAACCAGAATATATAATTGAACATGAAGCTACAAAAAATGTACAATATTTGTCTTATCATACGCCACTGATCACCTAGAGGATGGAGATAGCGATGCACGTTATCGTAAAGCAAAATTCAATCCTTTACCCAAACGCGCTCTCGCAAATTCACACGTGTATTCCTTGTGCGGCTATCATCAAGATCGTTTGAAGAATCGTCTCGTTCAGCGTTCTATGACATTTGTAGAGAGGGCGTAATCTACAGGCAGCAGCCGAAAACACATGCAAAATGTTTGGATAACTTTGTGAAGGATGGATTCAAAGCAAGGAATCGAATGCAGAAAGCTTTAGATTCCAAGCTGTATTTGTTATGAGGGGTCATGGAAAAGACTGGTCACCTTGATAGAAGAAGTAGAACTGAAGAGCCATCTAACAAAGCGTGCGATATCCCTAAGCTTTGTCTAGTGGCTGCACTTCATGATATTCTGATCGCTGTTAGAACTCTGTACCACCACCTCGTTCTTTTCAACCCAGTCTTTCAAACTTAACAAAAACGTTTTGCCTCATGAGTGTTTTAGAGGGTACCCATCCTACTCTAAAAAAGTGGGGTAACCATTCAAAGTCCCTTAGAGCATATACGTTGTGGCTGCCTCACTCTCTTCACTAGTTACTGCAGTTTTGCACATTACCGATTTTTTTCCTATTACTAGCAACTAGGATGTTGTAACCTTAACATGGCACTCGATTTCATGAATGTTATTCAAAAACTCTTAATTTTCACTGGCTCGCCCATTTTTCAAAAAACACCTATTCGTCCACAATTTTCGGTTTTAATTGGCACTTTTTCACATGGAAATGAAAAAAAGTCATCTATTTTTCTTCAGGAGACCGTGATCGTCCCACCTGATATGATCAAGGTGAATCATTTTTCTTTTTCGTTTTCCCGTTTTTCTATCATATCAGATTCAATGGTGTCCTTGTGAGCTATAGAAAACCCAATGATGTAGAGTGGCGTGCGAAAACGTTTGCGTCAGCTGGGACTTGAACCTAGATTTCACTTTTTCCGAGATCGCGTGCTGAACCGTTGCCGGTAGTGCGTGTAGTGAACGGTTCAGCACGCTCTCGCGGAAGGAGTGAAATCTGGGTTCAAGTCCCAATTAACGCAAACGTTTTTGCACACCACTCTACATTATTTAGTTTATTGAAACATCATAAAACCGCAATAGGCGGTCAAATAAAATGTTTTCTGATTGATTATTGAAACCCAATATCTGTCAGCATAAGTGGGTTCAATGTCGATAAGTGACTGCCCACACCAGTTGACAGATAACGCGCTGTAGCATAGAAGGAGTGGTGTGCAAAACAAGCGCCGGTAGTGCAACGGTTCAGCACGCGCTCCCGGAAAGAGTGAAATCTGCGTTGAAGTCTCAGCTGACGCAAACACTTTTGCACACCACTCTACATCACTGGGTTTACTGAAATATCATCCTCAATAGGCGTTAAAAAAATGATTGCTATAGAAAAGATTAACAAAACGTTCCATTATGTAATAATTTGCTGTTTATTCTGAATAAAAGAGATAACACTATAACGTCACAAATTGTCCAGTAAATTATTTCTTAAATTCAAGCTTTTCCCATCATTGCATAAACAATCTTCTGACTACTGAAGCTTCCAATGGCTTTTCCCAATCTGTGCAGTGCATTATATACATGTATACATATAGGGTGCGGGAAAAGTTAAGTCAATTCTGCATTTTGCTGATTTTAGCATAAATGTAATGTTTTTTTTACAATTCTGATGACTCTGTTTGATTCCTTGTTCAATATTGGTCTGGGATCTGTCTTCATTACTTGTCTATCTTCACTGTGCTTAAGTTATTGGTCGTAAATATGAACGTATCGCAGTAGTTGGGTAGCACAAGATGGAAATGAGAGCGGCTGACATTGTCAAAATAACTGGTTTCAACCGAAGAAGTGTCTACACAGCTGTGAAACATTGCAAAGGCAATGGAGGGATTGAGAACTGTCCTCGACAAGGTCGTCCAATGACCGCATCTACTCAGAAAACATTGAATAGATCCGCTGCCAAGATCAATGAAATCCGGAACGTTCAATACGCAAATGGCTCGTGAAGCTCGGGATTGGAGAGTGAAGCGTCCGAGACATTGTCAAAAATAAGCGGAAATTGTGCAGTTACAATATCGCCTGTGATCAGTCTCTGGACAAAAAGATGAAAGAAAACGACTTTCAAAGTCTTTTCGCATGAATCGTTTGACAGTTGGTGCTCGTTTGTCGGAGGTGTTTTCTACGAATGATAAGGTATTCACAGTGGAACCACTGCACAAGCGCCAGAATCGACGTCAACCTTTCAAGAAAAGGTAGCAAAAGTAGGCAGTAGCAAAAACCATGGACCCGCAGTCTTTTCCGGCCTTTATGATGATCCAGGCGGCATTAGCGCCTTCGGAAAGACACCGTAGGTCTTCATCAACGGAAACGTCAAAATCGACGCTGCCAGCTGTTAGCAGCAAGTTTTACGAGGCGAACTGGAGCATTGGACTACTCAACACTTTGACGCCGGCGGATTTGCGTTTCAACAAAAATGGGCGTCATTTGATAGCTTGAAAAACGACAATTTTGACAATGAGCTTGATTTGCTAAGCAACTTTTATACTGTGCTTTATTTATGGAAAATGATGAAGGTTTGCATCTGGAATGCGTTGTCTCAACTGCACGGCGAATTTTCTTGCTATTATAAGGCAAAATTTTGATAATAAGTAGGCATTGTCGTTGTGAAAAAAGACTTACTGGATGGACTCATAAAAATGTATTCTTAGTGAAAATAATGCCGAGTTATTTGAAAATTTTCACTTTTCGTTATGAATTGTGTCAAATGCGTACGCATTGTGTGGAATGTATTCCTGTTTCTCTCTCTTTTTTACTCAGTAAAACTTTTTCACTAGACTATTAGCAATCAGTTGATTGTTTGAAAGATGAAAATCTCAATGCTGAGCTTGCTGCGTAAAGAGACTCCCATATTTTGTCATAACAACAAGAAGAATATTACTTTTGTAACCCGAGTGCGTTGCTGTAACTTCGCAGAGGATTTTTTGGTATTGTATAGCAAAATTTTGATTCTAAACAAACTTTGTAGCTATGAAAGAGTAAATCACATTGCATGGATTTATGCAGACGGCTTTTTAGTGAATAAAGCGCTAAGTTGTTCTGAAATTAAAATTGTTGGAAGTTGTCGATTAGATGTCATCGCATGCCGTGAACATAAAGTTGTTCGTAAACCATTCATTATTTTCTGACTCAAAAACATTGCGACAACTTTTGGCTATTGCATTGAATTGAAAGAGTTCACAACTGCAAGATTTATGCCGTAATGTTCGATTACGGAGTGATAATATACTACACTAATTGACCACTTAATTACTCGTGGCAACGAGTAATGGCGGATTGTTACTAATTGTTACTAACATATAAAAACAAAAAACAGTGACGGCGCGAATGTACCTCGGTTGTGCAGTGGTAGCAAACATCCCTGGTATGGATGAAACGTGGGTTCGACTTCGGTCTAGGGTCGTATTTTTGCTCACCACTCAATTCTCTTGGGTATTTATGAAAGATTATAATACTGTGAAAAATGCAGTTAAACGTTAGAAATTTCGTGTAATACAAAAGATAGTCATAATTCAGATTTGACTAAATACAAATATAATGGCATGGGAATGTTCGATAAGAGTTCGAAATATGGTTTTCTCTTCAAAACTCGGGTTTTAGAGGAAGCATTAGCGTCGGTTTCGAATTGCAGCGATGGATGATGTTCATTATTGAGTATAAATGGATATTTAGATTCAATACTCATAAAACAGTGCAACAGTGCCTGTTCTAAAAGTTTACTGAAGTTTCAACTCCCAAAATACACTAAGAACAAAAAGTCCCTCTTAATTATCCATTAATTGGCGTCACCTTGCAATATGTACTATCAGCCTTGACGAAAATGCCACTATTTTTTGATTGTTTTGGCATATTTCAACACAAAAAATCTTTATTGAAGTTTCTTCTTCAATTCTTCTTCAAATTTCATCCTTTACTAATGACAAAATTCTTTTTGTTGATAAGAGATCTCAATATCTATTACGAAACCAAAACGTTGTGAAGATTACGCGCCTCAATCGCAAGGTCGACACCGCCAGGAGCCGCGCGAGCGATGACACCGCTTCCTATGAACGGTCGACGTGAACGAGTTAAAACGGCTTTGACACGCGCTTGGGACGACATTACGGTAGAAAAGTGTGCGAGCATCGATGGAAATTTTCGCAGGCGACTTCGTAAATCTTTAGAGGCAGAAGGAGGCAATTTTGATAACCTGTTATAAACCTTTTTGTTTAGTGTTGTAGCTATTGATCTGATAAACGTAATAATTTCTTCAACTGAACGAATTCATTTGTTTATGCAGTATTTTTTTGTTGCTGAAAAATTTGAAAAAATTGACAGAACGATATATATATATATATATAATATATATATATATATATATATATATTCCTCGACTGGATTCCTCTGGACGTCAAGCGCTCTAAAGGAAGACCACTGACCCGTTGGTCCGATTTCTTCACGAAAGCGATGGAAGAAAGATATGATGCTCAGCGAATCCCTAGAGCGAGGAGGACCCACTGGGCTACTCTTGCACGCGATAGGGAAAAGTGGAAGAGTTGCTGGTGCCCGCTCGAGTCACTCGACGATCAACGGGACGACAGGTGATACAGGTGATATATATATATATATATATATATATATATATATATATGTATATATGGTACATGCATTTTCATTTTTATTTTTTATACATACAATAAAAAAAAACGTTGAGCACATATCTCACAAACGAAGTGACATTGGAATGCTTCTATATCTTTTTTTTCACTTCTTCTTGAACTTTTCCAGTTTTATCGGGCATTCTGCAGCAAAATTCGCTGAGCTAATCGAGAACATAATAATTTGTTTTTCACTCATCAAGCTGTAAGTATAAAATATGGGCTTTGATGCAGTAGTACACTATCAAGAACTGTATAGACAGATAAAAGCCAATGAGTAGAAAAATTTGCACGCCATTCGATATTGACGACTCTTTCATCCCGTTCATTTCCACCACGGTTTTCACAAGAATTCTCTGAAGATTCGGTCTGACAGAGCAATATTTAACTGGATGAGTTTGCTTGTATTTTGCTAGTGGAATGCCAACTAGCGAACACGACATTATGTGCTTCCAGTTCATCTCTCCACCCACTTCCACATTCGTGCGCTCTCACTGTTGTGGTCAATTTTTCTAAGTTCTAAATAAGGCGTGTCGATGCCGGTAGTCATTTCTCAAGCAAAATAGCAAGTCAAAAATGATTATACTGTACTATTCTCATCCTTTGTTGGATAGTGAATCAAAGGACTAGAATGACCGTGCAATCCTTGTTATCTCGTTGCCTGCTCCTTTCTGAACTATGATAGCGTACATAAAACGAAAAAAAACAGGTGGTCACTCCTTGAATTACAGCTAACAACGGCAAACATTCTAGTAATGTGAAAGCGTCCTCTTTCTTGTTTCTCATCGTCATCGTTATTTAGATATGAAATGGTCGGGCGTTTATTTTTCAATATTCTCTTTCTCGGTCATCTCATTGACTTAAAAACTGCTTATTTGTTAATGTGTCCAAATATCGGTTTTTTTAAGAGTTAGAGTTCTCCATCATTGGCGGTTCTTGCTTGCAGGCACTTATTACTTTTTCATATACGTTGTAATTTGTGGTGTTCTTCTTCCTATGGCGTGCTTTCTCACGTAGTTATTTATTTGCACGGAAATAAATAAACACTGCATCACTGATTTTTTCTCCAAAAACTTTCATGACAATCTGATGAGTTAAGCTGACAACGTGAATTACTTTTGATGAGACGACTGGTACTTGTAGTTATTACACTTTGGAAAGCTCAATCAATTAGTGAGAAGGTTTTCTGAAGAAAAATTACCACTTTGAATCAATTGTCCGAAAGCTTTGTATTGATTGAAATGAGCTTATTCGGCTGCAGCATCCCATGTGTTCCACATTTTTCGGCGTCGACAACAATCTGTTCATACACACGCTATGTGGGAACATCTGAAATCGATTTGAAATGGTCCATAATAAAAACTACTTAGGCCTTACAAAATATCAGCCGACTATAGTAGGGGTAAACTTGAGAAGACAAGTCCATACGTCCTGTCTCGAAGTGGGCGAGCACAGCAAATCATATTCTGATCCGAGCCTGTATTTTCATTTAGAATCAGAAATACGATTCCTTGTGTTGTGATGTGAAGTTGTCGTGATGGAAAGTAAAGAAATCGAAGTATTCAGGTGCATGTACACTATGACTGAGTTATGGAAATTCTAGCGAACAGTCCGACC